AATAAATAAATAAATAAATAATCTTAAGTAAAATAAATAAATAAATAATCTTAAGTGAAGTAAACAAATAATCTTAAGTAAAATTAATTAATAAATTAATTGATTGATTGAATGATTTATAATCTTAACTAAATAAATGAATAAATAAATAAGAAAAATAAATAAATAAATAATCTTAAGTGAAGTAAATAAATAATCTTAAGTAAACTTAATTAATTAATTATTTAATTTATAATCTTAACTGAATAAATAAATAATCTTAAGTTAAGTAAATAAATAATCTTAAGTAAACTTAATTAATTAATTAATTATTTAATTTATAATCTTAACTGAATAAATAAATAAACTTAAGTTAAGTAAATAAATAATCTTAAGTAAACTTAATTAATTAAATTTATAATCTTAACTAAATAATTAAATAAATAAATAAATATGGTGGTAACATATACAAGGGTAGTCGATTACATGATCTCATTGAAACGTGAATTATTGGCGTTTTATTACCTGTCTCGGTGAGATATTGACCGGTTCCTCTGAGGTCAGTGCATAATCATACATAATATTGACCGATATATACTCTGGTACCGTAATTGTTGAACCAATAATAGGACGCGACACAGTTGTCATAGGTACCAGGCGCGGATCTAGATTTTTTTTAACCTGGTGGGGGGAGGCGGGGTGTCGCAAATTTCGATAAGGGGTTATAAATACATTTGTACTGTAAAGGGAGTTCACAAGTTTTTCATTGGGGCTAATGAATCAAAATTATTGTGTAAAGAAAACAATTGATATTCAAATGTCAAGGGGCTTCCACAAACAAGCCAAAGTCCACTGAGAGTGTGGTTATGACCACCATATACCCCACCACCCTTGCATCGCGCGTGAGTATTGAAGCAGATCAGGGGTTGCAAGTCCGGTCCCAACTACCATATGGGTTTTTTGGTGGCTACATGAGTCTCCGTTAGCTATATCAGTGACCGGTAGCGATATGGGTTTCCGGCGGAGTTTCCGTCAATCGCAACTTTTCGGCCCTTTCCGTCAGTCTTCGGATAAAAATAATAGCCGAGAACGTTCCGATTGGACTTTCCGTTAGCGATATGGGTTTCCAAAGGCGATATGGGTTTCCGGTGGCAATATGGGTTTCCGGGCGCGATATGGGTGCAGATAACTTATAACGACGACGAAGAAGATGTAATTCAATTATTGTTCCTCATTAAAATATAACCTCTGTTGGGAAGTTATGACAAAAGATAACGACAAACATATACACAAACAATTATATATACTGTCGATTGATTTGGGTTCACTACCTTCGTTTCATGAAGTACGCGGTTTCCCTTTAACAAATCACCTGTTTCCAAAGCAGAATTATTTCCGCACTTGCTCTGATTTACTTAGATCCTGTTTCAGTGACGATTCCATTGACGTTAGCTGTCATTTATTTTAGCGGCTTGATATCAATATTCTCACAAGTTATAAAGTATGCTTTACACTGGCTTTTACCGTCTTTCTAACCTTCGCTTGGTGCGTGCAAGTCGTTGAGAGGCACACGGCATCGGCAGAAGTTTTAAAGAACCTGGGACGGAGAAAAACCCCTACCGAAAAGTGTATCCTATATTTATATACGGCTGCCGATGTCCAGAATAGAGCTGGGGGTTAGGCCCAGGACATGTATTGGTAATTAGTTTTACAGGAATACTTTGCTGCCTTCATTTATATTTTCCCCACACAAAATGATAATAAGTGGAAAGGTATACTATACATGTATTTTAATCTTGACTTTAATCTTGACAATCGTTGACCTAGTTTGAGTACATTTTGTTTAGTGGCGTTCAATCATCATCAGACATTTTATTTAGTGGCGTTCAATCATTATCAGTTGTTATATCATAGTTTAACAAATATTCCGTTATAGAATATTATAACCCTGTTTTGCATTTCGAACAATCCATTCAAAGTTAAATAACAAAATATGAGCTAGCTATCAAAAGTATAGTAGCGTGTTTGGAAGCTGGATGGTAACAAACAGTCCCAGCAGGTAGTTTAAACTGAAAGGGACCCAACTGAGGATTATTTGACATCAGGGAACCAGAAATATTTTTCAAGGCTTGTGTACCATTTACTGTAGGTCTGGAACAAAATTTCAGATCATTTGCTCGCTCAGTTCTCTCATTATCATCATCTTTATTGTGCAAAGTGACCGAGAAAAAAAACGTTGCAACGATTTTCACTCAATCCAGCTAAAAAAAATCTTTTGCAGGAAATCGATTTTCAAACTAACTCTTGAGTATATTTCCAGATTTTTTTTCATTAATTTATGAAATTTGAAATGTTGTTTAAGGTGAATCAGCATATTTAAAAAGCAAAATGCACGAACATAACGTGCAATCGTAACTTATCGGCTGCCGGTGAAAGTATGCTGTGATATGTTTACCTTTTTCCGAATTATTGTTTTTCTCTTTTTCCTTGTAAATACTTAAAATTCAAATGCATGTCATATTTCTAGAACCCCTCCCATCTATTTACACATCCGGGATACCTCTCGATTTTACTTGATATATCACAGAAAAAGCGGCCTCGCAAGAAGGTAAACAAAGATAATTTTAAGGCTGGCCTAGCGGTAAAAGTCAATTTAATTTAAGCGTAACCGACTAACCGTACAACATCTAATAGTTTCACCCGTAGTGACGTCATTTTGACATAGATTAATAAAAAATCTCGATGGTCTTTAATTTTGACACCCAACTAATAAAATATTAGCAGAATTTGCATTTTCATATTTCCTTTTTTTATTTTAAGTCACTTTCTCAAGTTTCAAGTTTCAGTTTTTTATGCAAATCAATTTTTATGAGTTTTCGGCCCCTCAATACCACGGCTTTAATTACAGCTGTGACAGACGTTTTTTAACTAACAAAAATAATTAACCATATAACTATAAAGGCATATTTCTGCCACCAGATAACCATTTAACTAACTAGTTAATTAAGAGGTTAACTAGTTATGTAACTAGTTAACCTCTTAATTAACTAGTTAGTTATCAGGTTAACTAGTTACGTAACTAGTTAATCTCTTAATTAACTAGTTAGTTATCAGGTTAACTAGATACGTAACTAGTTAACCTCTTAGTTAACTAGTTTGTTATCAGGTTAACTAGTTACGTAACTAGTTAACATCTTAATACACTAGTAAATTATCAGGTTAACTAGTTACGGAACTAGTTAACCTCTTAAATAACTAGCTAGGTATCAGGTTATCTGGTGGCAGAAATATGCCACCATACATAATAAATGAATAAATAGATAAATAAATTTTGACTCATCTGGAGGTATGTAGCTTTAATTGGAAATTCTAGTTAGTGTCGTGTGCATTAACTGTATTTTCCCAAACGTTCTAAGTTGCGATTCCGTGTTTTTTAGACATGTTAATACCGTACTTGCCATTCAATGGAGACCAACATATACGTAAAGTTATATCAAGCAAATAATAAAACGCTCGTTTAATTGCTTACAAATATGGTGGATTGAATTAAAAGCCTTGACTTAGAAAGAAAGCAAGGTTAAATAGAAGATTGTATACGTGACAGGCATCATATTGCCAAGGTTACGCAACTTCTCTTTCCGTTGTGTATGCTAATTTCAATGTTTAAATGTTACCGTCCATAGCGATACGTCAACGCCCATATTTTTTACATTGAATAACTTTTTTTTTCAAGGCTCATCAAATCTTAAAGCTGCTTGCCTGCAGATTAGCTAAAGAAATCAAATTTGAGTAAAATACTTTGAGTAAAATGAACACAAAATTTAAGAAAAGTAAAAATTCAAGTAATGATTTACATATAATATGCAAGTATGCAGTAAATTACTAGATACATGTAGATACTTTTATTTTCTCCAAACAAGAGAGCATGACCTGCCGTTTGCAATGAGTACTTTCTTTTACAAAATTTTATTTTTGTTTTTTATTTTTCAAAATTTTCACGAAAATCAGCATGAATCTGGAGGCGTGCTGCTTTAATGTTATAATTTAAGTTACAACTTTGCAGTTTTGAAAATGTTTAGATACATGTGTACTCTTATGCATCACATCCAATTAACAAATTGCCTTAAAGCAGCATGCCTTCAGATGAGCGAAAATATTTTAAATAAATATAAATTAAATATTTAAATAAATCAAACTTGTGAAGAAGGATGAAGTAATAATTTGCATGTTATGAGCGATTAATGGTGAACTTTTCATTATGTGTTAACGCATCAAGGGCATTTTTTGCATATTTTGACCTCTTTTTGTAATAAACGTGGGTTGTAAGTGCCATTAATAATGTGTAAATTGCTTCTTTTTGGTTACAATTTAATTTCATTTTCAAAATTTTCATGAACTTGAGGCGTACTGCTTTAATGTTTAGCCTACTACTACCCACGTGACATGTGTACCACGTGACATGTGCAGCGCATCTGTGCTGTCTGATCATGGTCTGTGCGGTTGCTTATAGGTTAAGAAAAATAATATACAGTGTATTGAAAAGACTGAATTGAGTAACAATATACATATAGTTATTGGTTTTTTTTTACATATACATGAACGTCTAATATTTTGGACTACTCAAGGCCAGACCTGTCAGTGTTTCGTCTGTAGTACCTAACCGGCAATAATTAGGGGCAATTAATATATTAAAATAAACAGTGGAAAGCAGTCCAATTTCACAAATTTGGCGCTCACCTCATTTCAAAATTATTGCTATGCATGGCTTCTTTTGATATTGCACATAATTTTATATAATATTACATGAAACTTCTCCGTGGTGCAGCTATCCTTTTACATACAACTGCACTGAAATTGTAAAGGTATTAAATCTAACCTATATCTTTACACATGTAATTGCGAGTTCAAAAACAAATTTGTGAACGTGACTTCGTTCTCCCACAAGGTGAAGGTCGCTATTTAATTTGTATTCTATACGCTATTTTGTCCTATTATGGTTTTACGTTAATATCCGCGCGCGCAGTTCTTAAACGATTTTGTATAGGTTAAATATGCAGTACATTTGTACTATATCGGTTGATCTAAATAACATTGTTAAACTAACTACCTATGTAACCGAGTTTTTTTAACTTGACGACCCCCATTTTCAACCTGTACTTTTAACAGTTTATTCGATAAGAAATTTATCCGCAATTAAGTGACTTGGGATTTTTCTATATACAGTAACGTTTATAAAATAAGCATGGATTTGTGCGGTCAAAAAAGCAAACTTCTGCATGCCAACTTCAAAAACATTGTTTTCAAATTTGGATCTTATATTTTTGTTTGTTTATTTGTTTGTTTAAAGTGGAAAATAACTGATTTTTTAGTTTTATCCAAATGTACATGTACAAGTCATAATTCTACAAAAGTAAGTTTTAATTATATCCATGTAAGTCGTGTATATACAAGATGTTTTGGGCCGTTAACTTCAAACCATTTACAATTGTCCCTCACCGCTGTGGATTCGAATCCCGATTCTTTCATGTGAGAAATAATGCACGGAGGGGCACCTAAGGTCATCCACAGTAAAGCTGGAAAGTCGCCATATGCCCTATATTGTGATGATGCGACGTAAAATTGAACCAATAAAAAAAAATTATACAAGATGTTTGATTGCAAATAATTATATCTTCACACGCTTTTGTTTGTTTACAGGTGTCTGATAACGAGTAGAAAATTTTATCATGGAACGTTCCAGTTTTTGACAAAATATGACGAGTGAAATAATAACATCCAGAAATACTTATATCATTTTGGATAAATCTGCGTTAGAACCGGAAGTGATATCATCATACACGGAAGAAAGCGCGTTAGAATTCAAATCAAATTCTAACAAAACGCCAAGTGCTGGAATCACGGGGTGGGAACGTGCACAAAGTTACACTAATGTAAGACGTGACGCCACCGAAGGGTCGTTATTAGTTCGAAAAATGAACAGCTATAGTCAACAGTTTGGTGCACCACTTCAGACTACAAATGGACTAAGTCATCAAGCGCAACTCGGGGAACGAATGAAGAACATAAATATAAATGTTGCTGCAGATAAATTCCTACTTGGAACAATGGGAGCTTTATCATATAATGAAGAAGGTAGGTTAAATATTTCGAAGATATTAGTACGGTACTAATTCAATTCAATAGTTCTATTTGATCCGGTGTCGCGTAATAATCACGCGGGCGTAACCAGATCAATGGTTTCCGGTATAACTCGTGATATTTCGGCATATTCCGCTAGTTTCTGTAAAAAAAAAACACACTAGAATTATTATATTTATACGGAAGTGTAAATAAATCATGTTATTTTATACACAATTTTAGCCTGACTAATCGAAACGTCTGGAGAACTATGGTATACATGTACGTCATCTGTCCGCGTCCAGATTTCTGTACAAAAATACTCTTATTGCACCCTTGTGATTCAAAGTGTATAAAGCTATATATCTTTATCATCTTCAACAATACTGTTTGATTTTTACCAGGAATACTTCTTAAATACCCGTATGAGGAAAATATAATTGCATATTTCCTTCAATGCGACTGGCGCATGCACGAAATTATTACTAAACAGTTAGCCACACTCCCAAATAGCAACATTGATCTAATATATAAATACAATATTTATATGTGTTAAATAACATTCTACGTAGCAAACCCTTCCGAGAATCGATCATAAGATAACAGAAACAACATAATTTTACTGTGTATAAATTTTATCAAAAATATTTCATTACATAAAACTTTAACATCTTGAAAGCCACATTATGTCCCATGCAGAAATGCTTTTATTTTTGTTTCTCAGTAGCTTTTGCATTTTGCTATCGTTTTGGTTTTTAATGTTACTCATTGGCCAATTACCTGAACCATCTTTTGCTTCTGTTGCAATTTTGGCAATTAGTACAATTGTTATGCTTTAGTATTTTGTATGGAAGTCAAAATACTTTGCTACTTTTGTGATAAATAATTTCACATTCTGCGTTAATTCCTTCAGGAGATCAGCATCTAGCTTGTTCTTAAACCATTATTTAAACGTTATAAAACTCACATTTACCATTTCTAAAGAAGGATAAAAATCTGTGGCATAGTAAATTTAAGACATTTAGGTGTGGCCGAGTGGTTAAGTGTCGGACTAGTAATCTAAAGGATTGCTGACCGCGTGGCTTCAAACCCCGTCGGCGGCAAGCCATTGTTTCCATGAGCAAGAAACTATACATTCATTGCTTTGTATCGCTATCGTGATATAATTCCTTCGAACTCCAAACGGTGATTTTATTTAGCGATAAAATCCCTGTTTGGGATAAATTATTTCTTAAATAAGCTTTGAATCCATTACTAAAACATTATTAAACACATGTTTGACTTTTCAAAAGAATAAAAGAATAAGGATTTCTGAGGCATTTTGTGCCTTTAAGGTCTTCAGCGTACATGTTTTTATACTGTCATACAGATGAAATAACAAATTGTTTAAAAGGTACAAAGTTTTTTAACATATATCTGTAAGAAAAAGAAGAAAGAAACCCTGTTCCGGTCTTGTAATTACATGTAATTGCTTTCTACATTTGAGATTATTTTCTTTATTTTCTTGGACAGTGTCTCTTGGAAATTATTTTTCAATTCTTAGACCATCCCCTCACTGTACCCGACCCCTCTCACCACCAAGAAGTATCATGTTAAACAAAGGTTTTAGCAGTAGCTTTTTCTGTTGTTTTGTTAGAAAATTTCATTCACAAAATTACATTTTTGATTTTAAGAACCAATACCTTCCCCTTTTACGTCAGTATAACTCGTGTATTCCGTTTCACGTGCGCACGACGTGAATCTTCACAGATTGATACATACTCAGATTTTTTTAATTAAACTATTTGTGAATATATCTTAATAACGGTTTCTTGCTTATAATCAAATACTAAATGACATTGCAAAATACAATTTGCAATCTAATATTGTACGCTGTGGAAATACGTATTGTTTTGTTGTTTCAAACTTTTAATGATACCATCGCGAAGATTCTGTTGGCACTGCAGTGTTGAAATACGTATTGTTTTGTTGTTTCAAACTTTAAATGATACCATAGCGATGATTCTGTAGGTACTGCAGCGTTTATGACGTAAGATATATTAGCAGTTTTGATATATTATATAATATTTGTTAACTATTATGCCATTCGCCAGAATCCTTGCTTCTCATCTTTGGTGAACAACGTCTCGTTTCTTTTTTTTTTCAGCGGGAAACCCTGTAACGGCATCGCCAGCAGACGACACCGGGTATTGCAACGCGGCTATGGCGTTCATTGAGGCCGACAGCAGCTCGAGAATTTCGTGCAATACATCAAAAGTAGGCGCAGTGAGCGGGGACAGATACACGTATGTTAACAAATTTTTAAGTCGTTTTTTTTCTTCTTATTTTTATTTTATTTATTTTCTATTAATTATTTTATCCATTTTTATAACTATAGAATTCAAGAAAATTTTAATGATGTAGAGAATTTGTTTCCATCGGTTTCATTTAAATATTTTTTCAAAAGAAAAAAAGAGTATTTGATTGGTTAAAATAGAAAAATTAAGGGTTTTTTTAACAATACTGTTTGTTTTTTAATCAGTAAAAGTATTTATTTGTCCTAATGTGCAATAAAAAGCATGTATTTTGGGTAAGGGAATTATTCTTGTAAACTTGTAAAACAATTTCCAAAATATCCAAGAATATGTAAATATGTACTGCAAATGTTTATCGCATTATATAAGTAATCATAGCCTGGGTTCCAGTCTGTCGATTTTTTATGTGCTTCTGTTCGGCAAATTGATACTATCAAAACAAAAGATGTTGTGTTATCTATGACGATCGAGTATGAAATAGCGCGTAAGTTATGAATAAATAAAAAAATATCAACGCCTGAATCCCAGGCTAAAGTAATCATTAAAATTTATGCATTTATTGCTTACTGAAAAATTTGGCATATAGACTTTATCGAAAATAGATTTCTCATAACCTGCCTTTATTTACATGAAATGTAAATTCGGTAATACCTTTACAAATTGAAAATAATGCTTAATACAATTTTGAAAATGATAATTACAATAAAAAATTTGATAATATTTATTATACAAAAAAAACAACAACAGCAACAATAATATACATGTAATAAGTACAATTATGATAATATTAAATAAAAGACTTATCTCGCGACACAAATATTTTATATCTGCAGTCATGTAAACTTTTCCACGTTTTATCAAAATGTAAATAAAGTACATTGTATAAAATTTCATATGATGTAGCAAATCCGAGTTAAGGTATGACTGTCCTTACACCAACATTTTCGCATTACAGGATATAAAAGGATTGCATAAGACATATTAAGAATATTTAATATTAAACGACTTTACCTTTCGTTTTAGAGAAATTATTTTTTGTGTTTTAACCCTTATTTTTATCATTTCCCTATATGGATGCCCCTTTCAACGTTGTTTGGTATGTTTTTTTCTCAATAAATCAATAAATAATCAAGAAAATATAAAGAAAAATGAGCCGCGTCACGACAAAACCAACATAATGGGTTTGCGACCAACATGGATCCAGACCAGCCTGCGCATCCGTGCAGTCTGATCAGGATCCATGCTGTTCGCTTACCAACCCTATTACAAGTAGCAAAACTGATAGCGAACAGCATGGATCCTGATCAGACTGCGCGGATGCGCAGGCTGGTCTGGATTCATGCTGGTCGCAAACGCACTATGTTGGTTTTATCGTGACGCGGCTCAGATAATCAAGAAAAGAAAAAGAAAAATATCAAATAAATATGCGCACACTATATCTACAGGCACTTACGATTTTTTCAATGTCCACAACATAAGCACTTCAAGAAAGTGCATTGTCTAAATTTATTTTTGAAATGCCATAGCTTAAACAAATATCAAAATTTTCCTAAACGCTTATATGACAAAATAGATTGAGGGAGACGATTTACCGTTATAATATCAATCAATTAGATATAATCCAAACATGTACAATCGCTGTGAAAAATGCGGCAAACTGGATCTGCCAAATGCCATAATATATAGATGATCATGTGTTATTTATTTATTTATTTTTTATTTATTTATTTATTAATTAATTTGTACTTTTTTAGTCAATGTATGTAATTATTTATACTTTTGCAGTTTAACAAGGGAACAATTTTGAATATTTTGTCTATAATTAGGATAAAATGTAAGAATTTAACATAATATACATGAGAAAATTTATCTCGTGACTTTTTTTCTTCTAAACATCTACTATCTAGTTCTGTGGGGTTTTTTTCTTTTACATTTTTCTTCAGAAGAATTTATTTTGTCAGTGAACATATTTTCTTTGTTAAAATTAAAATGAATTTTTGTTCTATTCTCAAATTTAATTATTTTAAAACTTTTTGAGGCGTGTACGTAACTTGGTATATGAGGTTGAAATTTACTGCATTAGAAAATTTTAATATCATTTGCTCCGCCTCCCCTGAATAAGTTTTAACAGAACAGAACAGAACAGAACAGATTTTATTATTCAATATGACTTGAACATAACAGTTCCTCGTCATTACACAAATATACAGTATACATTAAATACAGCGAGAGTGAAAATACAAACAATACAAATTTAACATTTGATAGTATCATACTAGTCATATACATTATTCATATTTTCATTTCTAATACTAAATGCTTTATTACAAAATATTGCTTATCTATTCAAAGTATTTGTATTACATGTATTTAATAGATCAATAAATTTATTATTATATTAAAAATGCGACGCGCTGAAAATAAGTACGGAAACAAATCAAGCACAATTAAGCTTAATATCAGATACAGCATTATTTATTTGTTGATGTGTTAATGATCGAAACCAACGACTTTATAGTTTGTTAAAATCACTGTTTGTTGTTTGAATGCGAAGCATTGTATCATTTGGGCTTTGTAACACCGCACTTTGGGGTCAAACGCACTTTGGGGTCCGACCCCAAAGTGCGTTACGTACTTTGGGGTCCGACCCCAGAGTGCGTTACGCACTTCGGGGTCCAATTTCGACCCCAAAGTGCGTTAAACAGGTACATATGCATTTTTTAACATCAGGCAAACGACCGCACTTTGGGGTCATAGAAAATTAATGTTCATTATGTTTTAAATAATATATTGTAGTCAAAGCCAATGGTAAACAAAAAATCAAGATATCAAATAGACACAAACATGTGCCCTGAATAATATTAGAATCAATAGGGATTTAAATGGTCTTGATTAGTAAGTGAAGAACTTTCACCAAATAAATCACCAAATAAAGAATTTGTATCAATTATTAAGCTTAAAATATTTTTTCTCAAATTTTCCATTTATTTTAAAAGAATGTACACCTTTCATTAAATCCATTGTTTTTAGCTAAATGCATTATTTTCCCGTTTTTATTTACACATTTTATAGAAATATGATAGTCTCAGCATAGACAAAGGTATAAATTCTGGGAAATCTTAGTAAGAAATTTCAGTAAAAAATGTGCCTGATAATATGTTGAAAGAGCCATTAATTCAGCTAAATGTGACATATAAGAAACTTGACTAGGTGTAGATGCGGCTTTAAGTAGTAGTCCGTACAGGCAGTACTAAAAATATCAACTATTTAAGTAATCGCACATTAAGAGCAGAGCTTCAGAATAATGTAAATTTCTCACTGGGGGTATAGAGGGGATTGTGGGGTATCGATCCCCCGAGTGTTAAAAATAACGTTTTAAAGGCCCATTATGCTTTTATTTGATTTTCTTAAAAGCTTTTTTATTTTGATGTTCTTCTATATTATCCAAAAAATACACATTGGCCAATTACCTGAACCATCTTTTTCATCTGTTGCTTTTTGGCAATGATGAGTACAGTTATAGTGAATTAGTATTTTATATGGAAGTAAAAAAATACTACAGTGTTTTGACTTCTTTTATGACAAATAATTTCACATTTATTGCTACTTTATTCAGGTGACAAGCATCTTACATTTCTCAGATATTCTATTATAACATTATAAAATTCATGCTTGCTCTTTCTAAAGAAGTATGTAAGATTTCCCATAAAAAGCCTCTGGCGAACGGTTGTTACGGAGCTTACAAAAACCCTTAAGTTTGTTATGTATTTGTAAAAATCACTATTTATAGTCCGATCGAAAAACTTGATGTTTCACCAGAACATTGCAATAGAGTATATTTATAGTTCTTTGGAAAAAAATATTAACTGCATTTTATTTTCATTCCCAACATCTTTAAAATGGGGCTCAATATGGCACCAAAAGTTATCAAGTAAATGACCGACAGAAAGGGATATTTTTCGCAGCATCTTTTAAGTCTATAGGAATACACAATTTCTGTACTAGAGTATTTTGAACGGTGGCATAAAAGTGACATTTGTAATTTTTTTGATACTTTTGTTTTTGTTTTTTTTCGTACATATTTTTTGTTTGTTTGTCGTACATATTTTTTTTAGTTTTGAATACATACTTTTTTTAGTTTTGCATACGAATTCTTTTTTAGTTTGCATACATATTTTATTTTAGTTTTGCATACATATTCTTTTTTAGTTTGCATACATATTTTATTCTAGTTTTTTTGTACATATTTTATTTTTGTTTTTTCGTACATATTTTTACATGACGCCATTTGCAAAGTAGAGGTTTGGATAATTACACCATTTGTAAAACACCATTTTCAAACACTTCGCCATCTGTAAATTACAGTACCCCATTTGCAAATGCCATTTGCAAATACCAACATTTTCATTTTAGAGGTATCAAAAATAACAACACTTATATAAAATCAAATAATATAAAAAAAATGGGCCGAAAAGGGTCGGCCGAAACCAGACTTGCAAGGCCGAAAACGACTGGGCCGATTCCAAAAATGGGCCGAAATGTGACCAAACCTCTGTGCTAGTTTTATACTCACCTATGGGCTGTTATGAGATTTGAAGGCTGTTTTGATTGGCTAAAATATGTATGAAAAACAAAAATAAAATATGTACGAAAAACAAAAATAAAATATGAATGCAAAACTAAAAATATATGTATGCAAAACTGAAAAAATATGTATGCAAAACTAAAATAAAATATGAATAAAAAAATAAAAAAAAATAAAAAAAATGCAAATGTCACTTTTATGCCACCGTAATTTTGTTATTTGAAAACAATTTTTAGATATTTCAAGTGGTAAAATTAATGAAACTTTTATCACTTAAGCATCATAAAGTATTGACCGCCATCTTGAACTGTACCTCAAATATTCCAATGTCGCAGAAAGAAAATAAGTCAGTACTCAGTATTTAAGCAGAACTCAGATGACACCTTTAGACCCCTTGAACCCAAAGTGCGTTGATATGTAGCATATTAACGCACTTTGGGGTTAATTTCTCGATTTTAACCCCAAAGTGCGTTGGACCCCAAAGTGCGGTGCGAAGTTTAACGCACTTTGGGGTTGGACCCCAAAGTGCGTTGGACCCCAAAGTGCGGTGTTACAGGGCTTTGCCCCGTGATATAGTTCCTCGCGTCCGAACTCAAATCAGTGTTTTAATTCGTGGCTACTAGCGATAAAATTACTGTTTGGGATATTATATTATTTCTTAAATAAAGGATACATTTTAATACTATAGTATGTCAAATAATTAATTCTAATTACATTTTTTAAGCTGTAAAGAAGTTTGCAGTCCGCAGAAAAAGGCTAAACAAAACTTGCACCCCTCACGACCCCCTCTATTACCCCCGTGCAGAGTTTGTGGCGACCGGGCATCGGGGTATCATTATGGTGTTAACACATGTGAAGCCTGCAAGGTATGTAACTCTTTCAGAGATTGTTTCGTCTAGGGGAGATAATTTTTAAATCATGCAGATGAAGCTGCAATGTAAGCACGCATCAAGTTATAGAAGCAACAACTGACTTACTTGTTTGCAAAAATAATGTCAAGGTAGAATTTATTAGCAGCATGGTCAAAGAAAAACACTCGATAATTAGACAATAAACAAGAGTACTGGTCTTTCAAAAGATTCTGTGGCAATTAGCAACTTTTCTGTTCTTTCCGTAAAATTCGGAATACACAAAACGTTATTTCAGTCTATTTTATGATAAAAAAAAGATTTAAAAATTAAATAAAAATAAACATGTAAACAAGCTAGGATATGTTCAGTTATTTTATATTTAGCATATCGTGATCAAGTCGAAATTAACTCATAGATATACAAGAAAAAAATACATTATTTATATACAAAATATCATCGAAATTCGAACTGTATATACTGTCCTCGGATGATAATTTGGTCTTAACGGTACATGGGAAAGTCCAAAAACGGGGTTATCTGGATTATTATCCGATATCGTAAAAGTAAACACTTACATATACTATATAGCATTATTCTTACAGTATCGTTTGTGTATTACCGTTATGGCTCTGTCGGTAAATCGAAATTATTTTAACATTTAGTGTTTTGTACTCATAGGTTCGAACCCCACGTAGTACAGTGTTTCTTCTTGCTCTTTTTTATCATTATAACTATTTATTTATTTTTCGTTTTCCTTTTTGTTTTCTTGTTATAATATATATTTTATAGTATATATTTATTTATTTTTATTTCTATTATTTTCTCTATTTTTTGGATCGCATTGTAATAAAAAATTCGATCTCGTATTCATGTATGTATCTGAAAAAAAAAACGGTCAAAATTGTTTTCTGAAAAATTGACTGTTCTGAGGTAAAAAAAAAATGTGTCGTACCAGTAGTCGAACTTCTGCCTGTACGGATAAAACACAATACTGACACGGTTGCTCTACCTACTGAGCTAACAAGACATATGATAATATGTCGTTTCATTTTCATTTTTATAGGTTGTGGCATTGATCTGCCTAACCTATTTTCCCATTGTTATTGGTCTTTGTTATGTAAACAAAGGCTCAAGTTATCATCCTAGGACAGTACATGTATACCTGTTGACAATATATTGAATTTGGTTGTAACTGTAAGTCAATCACCTAATTAAGAACCTTTTTTTGAGAAAGAAATGCTCATTATTTTAGAGGGATAACAAAGTTTACCGAACTAAAGAGGGGACTATTTATTTTTGGCTGATTGTTGTATAAATATTTCCTTTATTACATTCGGAACATCTTGGCGATAATTCATAATAACTTCGAATGCAATACGGATTGATAGTAGTTTTAGATGTAAACAAAAACAGACAGTGTAATCTTTGAAAATGTGTAACGAGTGTAGTTTATCTTTGACATACAAAGGAAAATTAAGTCTATTTCGTGTTATGATTGAAAATATGTCCGACAACAATATCAAATTTAAAATGCCTACTCATTTACAAATCTGAATTAATGTCAGCCGGTAGACAATTTAACTTTCGGTTTCTATAACCACATTTTTGATACTGTTTACATTTATATATATCAATTCACTAAATTTAAGGTGGAATTTTTACTCTATATATTGCAATCAACTTAGTCAACAAATATATTTTCCTAATTTTGCATTTTGGCAATTGGTACCCGTTACAATGATTTAGTATTTTGTATGGAAGTCAAATACAGATTTGTTTACAATTTACTAAATTTATCACAATTTATTTCATATTAACCATCTCACATGTTCTGATTTTATTTTAACAACATTATAAATTACATGTTTACTCATTCACAATAGAAAAACAAATTATTTCTGAGGCTAAATGTGCCTTTAACCCTTACTGGAACCGACAATAGTTAGCCGTTGCCACCAGTATAGAGCCAGGGCAGTCTGCGCCTCTGTGAAGTCTAATAAGGCATTATACTGTTGGTATCACATTGTTGTTTTGTTTGTTTGTATTTTTTTTGTATTTTGTCACTTACATCGCTTAAACTTTGAAAAAGAAAGCTGGAAAACCTTTTACGCAAATCTAGCAGGCAAAGTACAGATTTGTGATTTAGGAAAATATGAAAAAAGAAAAAAGCAGTGTAGAGGGGTTTTGTTTTATTTTTGGCACGGAGTTTTCGTGCACATAAATGATGATTCTAAAGTTTTAAATGACAAAGCCATCGATTATTAAGCGCACCATCCCAAACGTCACAATAATTATGTAGATTTTTTTTGTTTTGTTGTTAGAAAAAAAATAACATGCCAGTTTGTGTTGTAAATCTAAGCATGACTTTTTGAATTTCCGCTATTTTAAAGGAAACTTATTTAATTTCAATTTGCTGTTTTCCCATCTAACGTTTCATTTTCAATTTTACAGACTCATTTTTTCCCGTCTTTCAGGGATTTTTCCGCCGAAGTATTTGTAAAGCCGAGCCGTACGTGTGTACGGGTACAGGAGATTGTAAGACAATGGCTGGGAAAAGGACAGCCTGTTCCCATTGTCGTTTTAAACGATGCATCGCAGTGGGTATGTCTAAAACAGCCATTAAAACTGGCAGATATACGCACGAGTTGCGATCTAAAAACATTCTGGAAGTGAAACGGCTGCAGAAACAGGCTAGCGACGAGAGTCCTGAACGACCCGAAGAAAACTCGTCAGGCTACAACGATGCAAACTATACGGAATACAAGAATGAGCTCCTAAGAAAGATGATGTTGGAAGATACATTGGGGACGCTTCTTTCAGGACAGAAAATGTTGTACGAGTTTTTAGATGACTACTACAATGATGAACTAATTAAAGAGAGACAACTCTCGGTGTATGTAAGTTGTCTTTCCTTTTTTACACCATCAATTCATTCTTTCCCATTTTTATTCACCATCAATTCATTCTTTCCCATTTTTTACACCATCAATTCATTCTTTTCCATTTTTTACAACATAAATTCATTCTTTCCCATTTTTATTCACCATCAATTCATTCTTTCCCATTTTTTACACCATAAATTCATTCTTTTCCATTTTTTACAACATAAATTCATTCTTTCCCATTTTTATTCACCAAAAATTCATTCTTTCCCATTTTTTACACCATCAATTAATTTTTTTCTTTTCTTACACCATCAATTCATTATAAACATCATCATTATTTTGATAATCATCATAAGCATGATCATGATAATATAAACATGATCAATATTATCATCAAAATAAAGCATGGAATCAAAGGTTTTAGTTATTTTTATTTACTTTAAGAGACGATTTTCATAATGATGTGTTGGGCTAAAAATATCAAATTTCAAAGCACATGTGTATACCCATGTGTCATTACTTCTGTATCAGGATTAATTTTTGCTGCATTGGCCGATGAAAAGTAAATAAGAACGTTCATGTTTACTGCAAGAATTGGATTTCTTTTATAAACATTAACATTGTAACAGTATAATGAGCTTAAGGCTCAATACTTTCAGGTTTGTCCCTCATAATGAATGATTATCTTTAGGGATATTTTTCTTGAGCAAATAAATAGACCTATATTTTTAGAAAATACACTCAACTATTCAGCTCCGATGCATTCTATTTTCAGAAAAATTATATGGAAAGAAAAAGAAAACTCCTTCTGGAAAGAGAAAATGAAACTGTAAACGCTGAGCACTTAACAGCAGACTACCAAAGTTTAGAAACTGAATCCCCAGACCATAAAATCAACGACAAACAGACGAGTAAAATTACGGCACAAGAAAGTAATTGTTACTCGCAAGCTCAATCCAGCAGTCAGAGTATACGAAAAGATTTAAGCACTTTACCAAACACTCCTAACAGCCAAATATGTCCACCGGAAGTTAATAGTAACATGAAGAAACTTACCGCGTCATCTAATGATTCATTATCTACGTCAGACATCGATAAAAACATCGAAAACAAAGATCTCAATTTGTGTTCGAATCAGCCATTAAATTTGAGTGTTCAGAACAGCCGTGCTGATTCTAGTTTGAATATAAATGCAGAAAACACGCGCTCTGAAGCAGACGTGACCGAGACCGGAAATGAAATGTCAAGAAAAAAATCCGGTAATTCCGTATTGCCTCCCACGGAAACCTTACGGGCTGAAGTGATGACAAAAATCGTAAGTGACCTTGAACAAGGTGTGCAAGGAATGTTAGCCTTCGCTAAAAGTCTACCTGGTTTTTCCGACCTTCCTTCTTCAGACCAAGTATCTTTAGTAAAAGGTAATTTACTTATTAAATAGCTCCTCTAAGGTTGTATAAACAGAACTTTTGTTTAATATCCCCAAATTACATTTTGGCCTGGTTCCCTCTCTCCTAGTGGTAAAGGCTGTTAACTTTCGCTTCCAGCAGACTTCGGGTTGAATACTACATTTACTTATATAGTGACTTCCATATTGCATAGTACGAAAGATAACTAATAGTGAAACAAATGTATTTTTTCTGTTTAAGATAACAATAAATGGAGTAAATGTATATTTAATTATACTTTCTGTTTTCTTTTCCAGCTGCACGTTTTGATATATGGTACATAGGTCATATACGTTGTTTCAATGTAGAGTTACGAGTGGGAGCCTGCGAGTGGCAGTTTCATGCTGATGAGCTGGCACAGGTAAGAAAACTTAACTCTTTTAGAATTTCTTTTGCAAAAATAAATAAATAAATAAATAAAAATATCGGTATACCGGTATTATGGCATTTCATATAGGAAAATAAAAGTGAGCTAAAAACATTTCAATATGAAAACCAATGTGGCTGTGTATCTCTCTGTATCTTTATTAACGTTCCTTTTGCATAGTATTGGAGTTATTGCCCTTTGTAGTTTTTCGTAATTTGTTTTGTCAGGAGCAAAAGGTTATAATTGGTACATGTATCAATATGAACTTTAGTTGTTGGATAAATATCTTTAACGTAAAGTCTAGTGCCACAAACCTTAACGTTTCTTTTACATAATGTTAGAGTTATTGCCCTTTTGTTTGTATTTTGTTTTTGAAAAAAAAATAATGTCCGTAGCGTATCAAGTATCAACATGAAATTCCATAGGTGGATTGACTTCATTGAGAAGGAGTACTGTGCCCACGAACATTTTTTCTCTTTTTGAGTGTTTTTGAGTCACTGGTTTCAATATGTTTTAATTTGAATACTGTACTATTATACTCGGATATCATCAAAGCTGAAATTTAAGAAATTATACATTTCCACACTTCGGAAAGAACATGTTCACATACATGTATATCAGTACGAACATGGCGAAACTTGTATATTTTGTTACCACAGTGGCACCTGAATATAGCCACCGACCATCCATAAGGTAGCTGGATAGCTTGATTAGCTTTCTTAGCTTCCTTAAATGAAATAATCCAAAGTCCCTGGCAGGATTCGAATTCATGGCGATGAGGGACAAGTGGTTGCGAGTCAGGGACATACAGCACTCGATGACGGAGGCTCTTTTTTCAGATACGTTGAATTGTATATATACGTTTGTCAGCCATCCATAAGGTAGCTGGATAGCTTGATTAGCTTTCTTAGCTTCCTTAAATGAAATAATCCAAAGTCCCTGGCAGGATTCGAATTCATGGCGATGAGGGACAAGTGGTTGCGAGTCAGGGACATACAGCACTCGATCACGGAGGCTCTTTTTTCAGATACGTTGAATTGTATATATACGTTTGTCAGGGTTTATCTAGATTAGATGAGAACAGTTTATTATCATTATGTTTGTTTGTGGTACATTGTAGGTTTGGGGCGACTCCATGGTGGACCTTGCATTTACACTTTCTCGTGTAGCAAAACTTCTAGATTTAACTAAACAGGAAACTGCGGCGTTACGAGCTGTCTGTCTGACATTTCCAGGTACATTTTCAAAACGTTTAAAAGTCATATTTTAAGTATTGTTCGAAATTATGCAATGTCCCATTGCATTAGAAATCTTTTGTCTCATATAATTATGTTATGTACATCCGTTTGTCTCGTATAGCAGCCGCGTATTTACGTTTTTGGTTTGATGTGAGTGTTTATATGTTATTTAATGTTCGCTTAAAAAAATAATGTATATTAAAGTATTCTAACGGAACTGCGTATTATAATAATTTTGATTTGTACTCGTAAAATACTCATTGTTTTAGATTTAAAAAATAATGATTTTCATAAATCAAGCCCCATCATTCTGTGGGCATATGATTGGTAAGGTGTGATAAAATAAAAACGAAATTCGAAATTTTTATTATACAGCATGTATGCTTGCAACGTCGATTATATGGCCCTATATAAACGGTTATTTGGAAATATAACCCGAGCCGCTAGGTAAGGTTATATTGCAAAGGTATTGCGAGTTATATCGTTCATTGTAAGCTCATATAACCTGACCGAGCGGCTAGGCGAGGTTATATTGCACAAAACCGTTTAAACATTGCCATTTATAACATGCTTTTCGGTGGTTTATAGAAATATATCAGTGATATAAAACTGGTAATCTCACTGTTTGAAACAGTGAAATTACCACTTTGATAATTTCACTGTTTTAAATTTAAGCCCCTTACGTTGTTTTAGTGAAATACCAGCGTGCACAGTACTGGGTACCAACTTAATGACGTGACGTCATAAATGACGTCACGTTGTATTATTATTTGGCGCGCTTTTCATTCAGTATTAGGTTAAATGTCTTTTTTAAACGTTTCTTTGCATATAATAAAAAGAAAATTTGTTTAGTTTAGTGTAAGATTGAAATATAGTTCACCTTGTGAACACCAAAAGTTCATATTTCACTCGTGGCTGCGCCACTCGTGAAATATACCTTTTGGTGCTCACTCGGTGAAATATATTCCGATCTTACACTGAACTAAACAAATATCCTCTATATAAGACACCAGACAGTTTTATAACAAAAATATAATACAGCAGAATTATTTTCTTTGAGGAAAATGGAAATACAATAATTATTTCATAAATTGACATCAGTCGTGTATGTAGGTTGTACGTATTAAACGTCACTACGTATTATCCAATGAAAAGCTACGTTACAAACGTGTAGCCATAAAAACTTTCAAGAATCGTTAATAACAAAAATGTTTAATTTCTAATGATTCATTTTTTTTATAGATCGATGCATGGATCTCCAGAATCGAACTGAGGTGGAACATATGCACGATAATATGCTGGAAGTTTTCAAATATGTCGCATGTAAGACACGAAGCAACTATAACAACTGGTTCACAAAGATCATCAACTTTCTCGTGCTTCTGCGAGAATTCGGTGTGAAGTTCGAGGCAGTGTCTTCTAAACTGACACTCGATTGGTCCGTTCTGAAAGACAACCCAGTTCTCCTGTCCGTGTTTTTGAGTTGATAAGAGATATCAAGTTAGAAGAAAATTTTAGAGAAAAAAAACAATTAATCTGCCACTAATTGTGAAAAAAGGGAGACAAATTTTGATAGAAATTGATAACTATTCAAAGTGGTTTGACTTAATCGAATTTATATAATATTCGTTTTTTTTTACATTTGGAAAATCGAAATTTAACAACCTTAGTTTTTTTGGACACGAGATTTTCTGTGACAGGTTACAAAGGTGTCTTAGCCCCGAGATCTCTGAGCGGATGTTGAGCAGACGAATTTTCAATAAGATTGAATATGTTGTGAAAATGAACGCCGTTCTTATGTACTCTCAGCGTTGTGATGGTTGCCAGGAACATTATTAAACACTTACCATGCTAAATATAAATGGACTTGTCAATTTTTCAATATGGACAGAACCATTCATCATTTTTAGGGAATTTTTCTAAAAAAAAATGTACTGGTCGAATAACAAACAGTACAGGTGATAAGTGGGTACTGGTCACATGGGTAGAATGAATTGCAGCAAGCAGTTAAAGGGTTAATGCATAATAAATATGTATTACAAATGTGTGTCGTCTGCGAGTGTTTTTGAGCAGCAGGCGAAAATAAGTTGGAATAAATATGTCGTAATCATGACGCTCAAATGTATGTATTATTGAATTTGTAGAATATTTATGAACTTGATTTTTTACGGTGTAAATGTAAGAAACCTAGCTAATTGGCTACATACCAAATAAGTACAAGTATCAACATCTTTTGGAAACTTTAGTAGTACTAGTTTTGGTGGGTAAATAATACAAGCAAATGTTCTTAGTTCATGTATATAAAATATTGTAGTTTATATTGTCGACCCTTTGTCAAAGCAGCCCGGGCAATTTTGTTTAACCCATACTGACCATTTTCGACACTCTTGCAGCTCATTTTTTTACTCTGAAATTCCTTTAACTTTGAATGGACTGTTCCATATTCAAAGCTGGGCGAATCCATTATACAAAGTCAGCATATTAGGCCTATTAATTGTAATAAAATAAGCAAACAACGAATAATCGCATCTCGCAAACGTAATAGAACGGTGAAACAGTAACTGTTGTTCATGACTTCATTTAGGATTACAGTTAGTTGATTTTACTTGCAAAATGTGATATTATTTGTTAAAATATGGTGTTGTTCAACAGAGATTTATATATTTATTAAGAATAAAAGTAATTAAAGTATAAATATATATTTGTATATCAGCGACTCTTTTGTTGTATCTGAACAGTTCTGAAGGAATTTGTTAATAAGTATTATAAATATTTATCCATGTATATTAATATAATATTTTCACACAGTCTCGGAGCAAATATCAACGTACATGTACTTGGAAGGCGATTTTCGGACTTTACAATATTATTTATTTATGCTTTTTAGTTCTCACACAAACACTAATCTCTTAATTTGAAGTAAAATATGCCTGACTGACATACTTCAAAAAAGCTTCAAGATTTTACATTACTAGATCTATGCCTGCTCGTCGGAATAAAACTGTTTTGACTATTTCTTCCCGTTCACCGCCTGCCCTAAGCCAATCAGAAGAGAGTCTTAAAAGCCACATGATAACAACATGGACGACAAAAATAACTTAAGGTAGCACTCCACACTAAATTTCAAGTTTCTGCCGTCAATGTCCTACAAGCAATATGTCTGATAAATCTGATCCCAAACTACACAACCTGGAAAAAGAAAACACATTTTGTTAAGAACATATATGTCATAACATTGCAAATCTGTAATGAAATCATCCCATGTGCAACAGTCAGGCAGTTAAAAAAAAAATCCAATTCATTCCGTAAAAGCCAAAAATCTATAGTGGTTCGAGACCCAAAACAACATTTTTCGTCCCGGCAAAAAATACCTGCAAATATACGGGCTACAGAAACTTTGTCACTGCTTTAGCAACTCCCTATACATGCAAAATATCACACAGAAATAGATGCTTGGCCTTGTAGATTTTTTTACTATTGCTGAAAGTTGTACCCCCCCCCCCCCTGTAAAATTACTTGTTTTCACCGAGCATGCTGTTTAAAAGCAATGTTTACAAACAATGGCGGCCCTGACATCTATAATTATCAGCATGTGATTTATAACCATGTTTTCGAATTTGTCAATGATTATATTACATGTCACAAAAACATTTCATGCTGAAAATGCATTTTAAAGACAACCAGTCATTTAAATCCACAATAGTCACTATATCCATGAAATCCTCCCTGGCCATTCGAAGCTGTGGCTTCATTTAGTGTGGTGTGCTGCCTTAAAAGGGGCACCTACGCCATTTTCTTTTTGTTCGGATTACCGTCAGAATTGAAATACTATTTTCATGACCAGTGTGTAGGCCTCTGCGGGGCAAACAATATACGTAATACCCGGCTGAACGGCGATTCCAAGCAATTTTGCATATGCTGATATTTGTTAACTTGAATAGCTTGATTTATACAGAATTTATTTTAGTTCGATTGTGTAGGAAGCTATATTAGCTTAAAGACACACTTTCGAATCTGTTCCTGGAACCAACCAGTACTGAGCAATGAGTGTAAAGTTTCTTGCTCAAGGAAACAACGACTTGTCCCTGACGGGGTTTGAACCCGTGCGGCTAGCGATCTTGAGTGAAAATATATACCATATTTCACGAATATACTTTTTTTACAATTATCTCAAGTACTATATAGCCCTTCTTTGGTGCCTTACATGATTTTTTAATACTCTTATGTTTTCTTATAATAAAATTGTATTTTACCTTCGAGTCGACGAAAAAATGGTCCAAGTGGGAGCATTCAGCAGGTGCGCGATGACGTATGATAAACGCGGCACTGATGTAAAACACAATACGACGTAAGTTTTTATTGTTGAAAACTTGATAAAATACCGTTTTTTCTTATTATTTCTTTTGTTTAATAATTTTTATATCTTCGCAACAGTAGGGTGCGAAAATCGAACAGCGTTATACGAAAATCGGCACCGGAAGTTATTTCCGCTTGAAAAATAAGTGATCTTCCTTATTTTATCGTGTTAGAATCGAAATAACATCGGCCTGAGATGTGTATATCGGCTATTTAACACCGGTTTTGTCGTTTTGATGCGAAAAAATTAACCACTCAGGCCTACGGCCTTCGTGCATAAAAACTCCAAACCGATGTTAAATTAAGAAATAATATATCTTATCGCTCAATAACTCGTAGCCCGAGTGATATAATAATGCGCATCCGAACGACAAACAGTGATGTTATCCAGCGATAAAATTACTGATTTGGATATATAATTTCGATTCTAACACGACGTCAACAAATAAATGCTGCCGTACCTGATATTAAGCAAACTTGCGCCTGACTTGTTTCCGTACTTATTGTCAGCGCGTCGGATTTTATAGTGGTTACGTCACATGTATAATGAGGGTCGTGTTAGAATAGTCGATATAGAGAATAATAGGTTGGTGCCGTGGCGGACGAATTTATTGGGTGAGCCGAAGGCGAATCCAATAAATTCCGGAGCAGAGCCAGATAAACTTTCTCCATCCACGGCACCAATCTATTATTCTATTTATCCTGTCACCGTTTTTTTAAAGAATTTTATTAGGCAAACTACCTTTAATCACACTATCGGAAATGTTTCTATATAAACAAAGAAGGCCTTAAGCGTGCATTACTCTACAACAATGCACTCGCCGTTCTTATTATCTCCCTGTGTATTTTCACATTGCGGGCGCCATTTTGTTTGAAAAATGTGATAAATAAAAACAGTTTTTTTGTCGAATTTTGTTGTGAAAACTATCTAGAATAAAAGAAAATGGTCTAACTAAGAAAATGAATTCGAACACCAATATCTTTTATTCAGTCGTTAACGCTGCACAGACGTTTAAAAAGTATTGTTTACATGACGTCACAATGTAGCGCCAAACAGCACGTGCAAAACAATCAAATCAAGTACGCTATTTTAATGTCGCAAACGAGTTAAGTTTTACATTTATTTCACTTTTAATAATTTTTATTTCGCTTGAAAAATTATAGAGTGAAATAAAATAAACAAACAAAGTTTTATCAACGTTTCCAAAATTCGTTATTCTACACGACAGTTTTTATATTTTTTCTTGAAAAGTAGTCCGGCAAACATGCATACCACGTGATCAAGTGCCGTAGATCAGTAAAAATATACGGCACCTTGTTCACGGGGAGGAATCACGCCGTTCGTTACCCAAACAAACAAGATGGCGGATGCACCCAAAAAGTAGGTTTTTCCCTTTTTTCTCTGAAATTCATGATGTTCTTGTGTAAAGGGTACATATAACAACCTTATACATAATTTTCCTGGCACACAGAAATTTATTTCATGAAGTTTCGTCCCGTACTTCTTCTGAAATGCGCGTCACCAGATTCGAAGCGAGAGAATTTTCCACCGGTTTGATCGTGGTAACGTACGGCTTCTTCACTCAAATTCGCTGTTTCTTTACATATATGTATATTAACTGAAACCACTGACTTTAAAAATTTGTAATATGTTGTCAAGTAATCATTCATGCCCATTTTGGCTAGATTTACTTGTGTAAATATTAATATCGGGGCATTTTCCGGAAATGATAACGTATGGCGTATAAAATATCAATGATAACGTTCGGCGCATTTTTCTACTTGGTGGATTTCTATTTGTCCAGTCAGCTGATAATAAATTATTTGTATGTAGGAAATGATAGATATTTGAAACAAAAAGTTTGTCATTTCAGAAATAAATTATTGAACAATGCTGCACCATCGGGTATCAATATCTTTCTAGCTGGTGGCATAATAGATATTCGTTGTAAATATACCAAGTAAAACACACGTTTATAGTTTGAGAATATTTTTGTATAAAATGCAGAATGGAAAGAAAAGCCTCCACATTTAGGAAACATTAGTGTAATGTTGTCTTCACATTAAATTTCGCCAGTGTTGTGCGATAATTATGGTCTTATCCCCTTACCAGAAAGAAGAAATGCATTCACCAGAGCAAAAATGTTAAAATGGTACGGAAGACTTGATATATTTTCTATTCCAAAATTACTTTAACAAATTACTGATAAGAAAATCTTAGTATTTGAACCACGTCAAACATAAACAAACGAAAAGTGATTGCGACTAGCTTACACCCAGAGGAGATGAGCCTGTGTTTATACAATCTGGTCGCTCATTAAAAGAAAATTCATAAGAGAGAATAATGAATGAGTATAGGTTCTATATTGAATTTATTGAATTAGTTAGAAAATAATGTTTTGCGAAAAAGTTCAATAAATTTATTTAATAAGAAATTTCCAGTTTATTTGACGAAACGTTTTCTATTTAGCGTGACGTTGTGCCACAATGACGTCAGATATATTTGCACGACATATCCGTACAGTTTTTTATTATAAATGATTTGATCAAAACAATTACATCCAATTCATAAATTTGCCTATCGAATTTTGCTTTTTTTTCTCGCAAACGCCCCAACAAAAACAATCAATCTCTTACAAAATAGTATTGCAGGTATCAGCAATAAAGAGTGTCATTGAAATTTGCGGTGAACATTTTACCGACCATGATAAAGTTTCAAATCGGATTTGGATTTCGATGTTTTATCCATGTCCGAGAACCCGTCTGAAATCATTAGAGCTAGACCGCTCATGAATGCGCTCAGATGACGTCATTATCTTTATGAAAGAAAAGCTGTAAAAATTACTACGCTACTATGATAATAGTGTTTACGAAGTATATGTTAGTAACATATACTTCGTAAACAATATTATCATAGTAGCGTAGTAATCAGTTAGTGTTCATCTGTGTTGCTCTACAGAATTTAGAAACTTTGACAGGAGCGATAGCGGCCGGAGAATGTTTCTTATTTCCGTAGAACAGCTACGGATGAATACTAACATACTTAGTGTCAAACTTTATTTGGCTTCATTAATATTTACTTTCTTTCGTCACTATACTTGTCTATTTTACGAACACATTTCTATGAAGCACTATGAAAAATAGAAGTTTATGTAGTGTCCAAATTTATTTCTCACCCAATGAAAGCGCTGTATTTCTAAAAGAAAATCTGTGCGTTAATTTTCATTGAAGAACAAAAGACGATACTTTATCGAATTCCGTTCATATTCGATGTCTCATTTTCATAATAATTCATAGAACAGCATAGTGACGTTTTAAGGTGCCAAAAAAGCTTGACGCTAAGTATGTTAGTATTCATCCGTAGCTGTTCTACAGAAATTAAAACATCCTTCTATCGCTATCGCTCCCGTAAAATCTATAATTTCTATAGAACAGTACGGATGAGCACTAACATATACATAGATATTTGAAATTTGGGATCAAGTTTCACTTTTGGCGAAACTTTAAGATCACCAAAGGTGGAAAAGTTGCTCTATATTCGAGTACGATATGCAAGAAAACATATCACTCGTGATTACCTATCGGATTTTAATATCCATCCCACTGGCACCTGCACAAGGGCTTAAGTTAGCAAGACTCGTTACAGCCCAATGCGAAAGAGCCCTTGGATCGGATATTTCTATCCGATACAAAAACACATGACAGATATTATGCAAACACTAAATAATATTCAGTTTCTTTATTTGGATCTACACATCCTCTTATGTCTGGTAACTGGTAACATAACTTTTCTCTTAATATATAGAAAATCAATTAAGCAGACAAAACTGCGCCGAACGTTATCATTGATATTTTGTGCGCCATACGTTATCATTTCCGGAAAATGCCCCGATTTTAATATTTCAGCGGTTATTCTAGCCAGAATGGGCATGAATGCTTAGATGCCAACATATTACAACTTTTTAATGTCAGTGATTTCAGTTAATATACATATATGTAAACAAAACAGTGAATTTTAGTGAAGAAGCCGTACGTTACCACGATCCAAACCGGTGGAAAATTCTCTCGCTTCGAATCTGGTGACGCGCATTTCAGGAAGTAGTACGGGACGAAAACTTCATGAAATAAATTTCTGTGTGCCAGGAAAATTGTGGAGAAGGTTGTTATATGTACCTTTACACAAGAACATCACGAATTTCAGAGAAAAAAGGGAAAAACCTACTTTTTGGGTGCATCCGCCATCTTGTTTGTTTGGGTAACGAACGGCGTGATTCCTCCCCTTGTTGTTATCGGGCCGAAATTGATACAAGTGACAGGATAAATACACCTCTCAGGCCGATGTTATTTCTTAACTATATTACACTTGTGTACTAACACTTTGACGTGACGTCATTTGCACTATATAGAAACATAGCGTTATTTTAAAGCGCAGTAATGTTAGCGTTACACTATTGGCGCGTCATTGAAAAATTACTCATTTTAACAGTTTACTGTTCTTATTTTATATATGTAATAAATAGAATATTATATTCGTGTAAATTCAATACTAAATTTATTGAACTCGTTGAATAAAACAATATTGTGCTCGCCAGAGGCTCGCATAATATGATTTTGTTCAACTCGTTCAATAAATTTGGTATTAAACTACACTCATTCAATATCCTCTATTTTATTTTTAAAAAATATGAAATATATGTAATAGAAAGAGCATGAAAATACGAGGCTATCTGATTTGTACGAGGGGTCTTATTTTGGGTATGTGATAAATAGAATATTAAATTCATGTAAGTTCATTACTTATTTATTGCACTCGTTGAATAAAATAATATTATGCTCGCCACAGGCTCGCATAATATAATTTTATTCAACTCGTGCAATAAATTCAGTATTGAACTTACACTCATTCAATATCCTCTATACAACACTTTTCACTCAAACTTGGCTAAAAAAATCGTGGTAAAATTCGATTTTCAATTTAACTCTTGAGCATAATTCTTTATAATCTTGTGCAGACTTTCCTATTTTAAGTAAAGCAAGAATTTCCAAATATATGATTTTAGGTTTTTGACTTAAAATCTATTTAAAGGTCAAATGTGCATTTATTTTTATTAAAAGTAGACTAGTACTACATGTTTTACATATGAGCCGCGTCACGACAAAATCAATATAATGGGTTTGCGACCAGCATGGATCCAGACCACCAGCCTGATCAGGATCCATGCTGTTCGCTTACAGACCCTATAACATGGATCCTGATCAGACTGCGCGGATGCGCAGGCTGGTCTGGATCCATGCTGGTCGCAAACCCATTATGTTGGTTTTGTCATGACGCGGCTCATATTTCCTCCTTGTACTGTTTCTCTCCGAATAATTTTGATAAAATATTTCAAAATATGTCAAACATCGTTTATTTAAAAAGCAGCAAGTTATATTCCTAGGTAGGAATTTCAAGGTCCGTAAACTGAAGTAAAATAAAGCCAAAGAACATTCATTTTCAGCTGTTTTAATGGTTAACTGAAGAATACTGTTTCTAAAAATATAATTGTAAAAGAAAAGTACTTAAAAAAATATTTATACGAAATTAGCTGTAGTGCTATGAATCAACATTACTCTTCGGTTCGTCAGGTGCCGATGTTACTTCAACTCCAGCTTGAAAGGTAATTGCGATATCGACAAATAGATCGTCTATTGATTCAATCAAAGGGTCGACTGTTGGATTTACTTCTGTTTCAGCTGCAAGGTCGACTGTTGGATTTACTTCTGTTTCAGCTGCAGAGTCAACTGTTGGAGAAACTTCTGTTTCTGCTGCAGGGGTTTTTGTGACATCAACAATTGGAGTTACTTCTGTTTCAGCTGCAGGGGTTACTGTGACATCGACTGTTGGATTTACTTCTGTTTCAGCTGCAGGGTCGATTGTTAGATTTACTTTTGTTTTAGCTGCAGGGGTTACTGTGATATCGACTGTTGGATTTACTTCTGTTTTAGCTCCAGGGGTTTTTGTGACATCAACACTTGGAGTTACTTCTGTTTCAGCTGCAGGGGTTTTTGTGACATCAACACTTGGAGTTACTTCTGTTTTAGCTGCAGGGGTTTTTGTGACATCAACAATTGGAGTTACTTCTGTTTCAGCTGCAGGGGTTTTTGTGACATCAACACTTGGAGTTACTTCTGTTTTAGCTGCAGGGGTTTTTGTGACATCAACAATTGGAGTTACTTCTGTTTTAGCTGCAGGGGTTTTTGTGACATCAACACTTGGAGTTACTTCTGTTTTAGCTGCAGGGGTTTTTGTGACATCAACACTTGGAGTTACTTCTGTTTTAGCTGCAGGGGTTTTTGTGACATCAACACTTGGAGTTACTTCTGTTTCAGCTGCAGGGGTTTTTGTGACATCAACAATTGGAGTTACTTCTGTTTTAGCTGCAGGTGTTACTGTGATATCGACTGTTGGATTTACTTCTGTTTCAGCTGCAGGGTCGACTGTTGGATTTACTTCTGTTTCAGCTGCAGGGGTTACTGTGATATCGACTGTTGGATTTTCTTTTGTTTTAGCAGTAGCAGTGACGTCAGGTGTTTTTGCAGATGTAGCTTTAGCCTTTGCTTTTGCACCTGTCGATGCTTTTCTCTCAACAGCGCTAACGACATTGTGTTTTGATTTTTTTACTGGTTGTGGTGTCCCACCAACACTACGAGAACCGGTGTTTTTAGAGCCCTGGACCTAGAATTACAATGTTACCTATTTCAATGATATTTAGTTATACATATTTTATACAATGTATTTTTACGTCTTTATAAATATTCAATAAAAAGCCAAGAGGTTTATGACAGCTCTTAGTCGTTCACATGAATAAAGACCAAACCAAAAAGTAAATCAAATTTCGGAAGATCAAGAAAAGACGACAGTAATGTTACTTATTTCATGTTTTCAGTGTTTTACTGTAATATGAAATTAGGCAAGGGAAGTCGTTAAAAATTCCTTTCATTCTTTCCGTTTTAAAAGTGTCATTCGGTATTATATACACCGCTTCCGTTTTTACTCGGAACACTCGACGATTATGATTTATCCGAAAAGTTGAGATTTGTGCCGTTATCGGAATACCCCGCCTATTATCATTGCGTAACATTGTAAATGGCGGCGCCCGACTAGAACTGACACTGAAAATTTCATTGATAGGTATAGAATTCTATATATTTTTTAATTGTTTTTTATTTCATTTTCTTTGACTTCCCCGTAATATATCAGATGATTATGTTCTGATAAAACACTAGTGAAATTTATAAACTATAATTTTCAATGTTGCAGGACCTTATCTGAATTCGGATGAAAAGGATATCATAACTAAATGGAATAGCAGGCAATAATAAATGCCGTCATACGTAAATTTTACATCTTTAGGAAAAGAATGTCGATGTAATCATACATCATGTTAAAAATGCATCAGAATTAGAGAAATTTAACAGAACTATATTTCAAAATTGATTATGTGACGCCATGATGTGATGAGGTCAATGCGCGACGTAACGCGGCAAAATCAGTAAAAAAAATACTTAAAATCACTTATAAAGCATGAAATAAAAAAAATATTTGTTTTACATATAAGATTGAAATATATTTCACTGAGAGAACATCAGATGCAATAGTTTCACGAGTGAAGTAGCCACTCGAGAAAATACTGTTTTTAAAGTTCACTCGATGAAATAAATTTCTGATCACACATACCCATGCCTATATTGCGACACCGTAAATATGGTATTGTACGGCCGTGCATATAATTTGACGTGACGTCATTTGCGTTATACAAACGGAGTGTAAAGACGCGCTTAATATTTACGTTATACGGGGAAGTCAAAGACCGGGCCCGCGAAGCGGGTCCGGGCTTTGGCTTGCCCGGCTATAGACTACACGTGTATATTTAAAAGAAAATCAAATAAAAAACAATTAAAAAATATATAGAATCCTATACCTATCAATGAAATTTTCAGTGTCAGTTCAAGTCGGGCGCCGCCATTTACAATGTAACTCAATGATAAAAGGCGGAGTATTCCGATATACGGAACAAATCTCAACTTTTCGGATAAATAATAAACGTCGAGTGTTCCGAGTGAAAACGGAAGCGGTGCATGTAATACCGAATGACAATTTTAAAACGGAAAGAATGAAAGAAATTTTTAACGACTTCCCCGTTCATAGGCTTTGCCTAATTTCATATTACTATAGGCGCATCAATGAAAACAATGGTTCTTTAGCACTTTAATTGGGTTTGTGATACATATGATATTATTTTCTTGTAGGTTCATTACCGAATTTATTGAACTCGTTGAATAAACTAATATTTGCCCGCAAGAGACTCGCATAATATAACTTTTTTCAACTCGTTCAATAAATTCAATATTGAACCTACACTCATTCAATATCCTCTATATCTTACACACAAACAAACATATATCCTCTATTCATTTTATGAATTTCGGTGGTTTATAAAAATATATCAGTGAAATATAAAACTGATATCTCACTGATGGATTTACTTCTTTTTTAGCAGGAGTAGTTACGTCAGGTGTTTTTGCAGTTGTAGCTTTATCTTTTTCGTTTGCACCTGTCGATGATTTTCTCTCAACAGCGCTAACGGCATTGTGTTTTGGTTTTATCACTGGTTGTGGTGACCCACCAACACTACGAGAAACGGTGTTTTTAGAGCACTGGACCTAGAATTACAATGTTAGAAACATTTTTTAACGGACTATTCCTCACCTCACGTTTCCTCCCTGACGGTACTCTAGCTATTTTTATGAATACATTATTATTAATGGGTAAGTTTATGATTAATTGATATGAATTATTTAATTTTTCTGATTTTTTATTAGATGTAATGTATATTTTTTAATGTGTTTAGTCATTGAAAATAATCAATGAATAATTTACTTGTTGATAAGATTAAAATTGCTGTTAAAATTTATTTGATATTATATATTGTTTCATGTTAACAGAACAGAACATTTATTTCACTTTTGCAACATGAACAGATAAATATTAAACATAAAATGCACTTAATTTATCACATAAACCGCGGCACAGGAGTGTAATAAAGCCATGTAATAAAAACGATATTACACTAGTGTAATAACACTTTGACGTGACGTCATTTGCGCTATATAGAAACATAGCATTAAAGCGCGCTAATGTTAGCGTTACACTATAGACGCGTCATTGAAAAAATACTCATTTTAACAGTTTACTGTTCTTATTTTATATATGTGATAAATAGAATATTATATTCGTGCAGATTCAATACTAAATTTATTGAACTCGTTGAGTAAAACAATATTATGCTCGCCAGAGGCTCGCATAATATGATTTTATTCAACTCGTTCAATAAATTTAGTATTAAACTACACTCATTCAATATCCTCTATATAAAGCACATTCTTTAGATAATATTCATTAAGGAATATTATTAGATTAAGTCAAAACAAAAACGATAACTTATATAAAAAAAATGAGGGAGGGGGAGTCTGCATATTTCAAAATCAGGGGAGGAAACGATTTAGTTTGCCTCATCTTCACTAGCACAAATTTAATGGGTGGTGTTTCGTCGTACCTTTACATATATTTTTCCGCTAGCCAATATTTATCTCTTAACTTAGCCGGTTTGTAAGGTTTCACATTCGTAAATATTCGTAAAAACGTTGGCATGGTTACCTTTTTTGTTTTTGCAGTTGTAGCTTTATCTTTTGCGTTTGAACCTGTCGTGGTTTTCCTCTCAGCAGCGCTAACGACACTGCGTTTTGGTTTTATCACTGGTTGTGGTGTCCCACTAACACTACGAGAACCGGTGTTTTTAGAGCCCTCGACCTATATGTTACAATTTTAGAAGTAATCTATTTCAATAATATTTAGTTATACGTAATTCTAAGGTATTTTTACGTCTATTTTAATATTCAATAAAACAACAAGAGGGTCATGCCGGCTCTTAGTCGCTCACATGAATGAAGGACAAACCAAAACGTAAATCAATTTTCGGAAGATCAAGAAAAGGACTATAGTAATGCTATATATCCTAGCGGCACTATCAACCGGGAATGTATTAGCCAATCAATTAAATATACATGTTACATAAACAAATTATTTGTTGAAGAAGCTACCATTCATAGATAAAAATTACCATTATTTAAAAGAGAGTTTAACTAAACATACAAATAGCATGTATGTACATAGTTCTGTAGACAAACTTATAAAAGTGACAATCATCTTTGTTAGTACTGGAAATGATTTTTGATAGTTCACCAAAAGTTAAAAACATATGTAGATGATCCATTACTAACGCTTGTAACTTTCTTCAAAATATGCCTTATTTTGCTATAAAATTATGTGAAAAACACTCATATACCAAAAATTACTCGTGCAAAAAAAAAAACAACATACGTAGATGGTCTATTACTAACTGATTCAAGGTTCCTCTCGGTACAAAGTATAGAAAAACCCCAAAACAAAACAAGGTTCAAACAATTCGGATAGCCCAATAAGAACAAAATTAATTTTTTTTTAATAATATCCTGTGAAGACATTGTAGAAAAAAACTTAGCATTTAGTCTGCCCCCATGTTCACTAACGTCAGTACACACTTAATGAGCGGTGTAGGAGCACATTTGTCCCGGAGCACTTTTGTCTCACGAAGTGTGACCGATGTGTTCGTAAACATGCATATTTGCGACAAACTGGAAATGAGACAGATGTGTTCGACACACAATAGAAAGGACACTCGAAGCACATGTGTCTCACATTTTTCCATAAAAATCTTAAAAGGTAATAATTATGCCCGTCCGTATCCTGGCAACCAGTCATTGTTCTGTGTTTTCTGTATTTATTAAACCGTTTTTAGGTGTCACTTCCGGTCAGTCAAAAACTTCCTGCCTCTGCATAGGAGTCATATATTAAATTAAAGAATATACCTGTTCTGCACGTCACAATGAAAATTTCTACAAGTGCAGTACACATATGCAGCAAGTCTATTGTTATCGTTATCAATTGTGATACGTTTATTTTCAATGCTTAAAGTTTTATAAATGATTTATGGCACTAGAAATATTCTTAGCAAAAACAAGGGTAGTATCTACGGCGGCATAAAGGGGACATACAATTTTCTTATTTATAACGTGCGCACGCGATAGCTATGACGTGCGCACGCAGATATGTATTCAGCATTTGGACACTGACCGGGATCCCCGCAAAGTTCGATGAATAGTTCGATGCCCCGTGTATATGTCGAACCTACAGCGGTTAGGGACAAGTGTTTTTTTTAATCAATCGGCCACGGAGGCCCTTAAATGGTCTATGGAAGAAAATAAGAAGACCATTACACACGTATTTTGTTTTTATCAGAAATATATGTATGTAAAAATCGTCATTTTCCAAGAATTGCGGCTTTCAGATCCGCCATTGAAAAAGCACTTACAACATGTATGCATGAGTTCCTAAAATAATTCGGGTAATGCCATAATTATGGAATATCGGACCACTCAGAATCGTGCGAGACGCGACATTCCGATGAGACACGAGGCGAGGCACGATATTGTTACACGAGATCTCGCAATGTCGAAGTAACCTGTACCACGAGATTTCAGAAATGAATACATTTTTACTTCTTTAGATAGAGCAAGTATGAATTTATTAATATTTAAATAATAATTTCTGAGGAAGTTAGATGCTTGTAATCTAAAGGAATTCGCGATAAATGTGAAATAATGCGTAATAAAAGTAGCAAAATGTAAACAATGTAGTATTTTGACTTCAATACAAAATTCTAAATCACTTCAACTGTAACAACTGCAAAAAAGCAGCAGACGAAAAATGCTTTAGGTAATTAGCCAATGAGTAACTTTTTTGAGCTATAAAAGTATTCCAAAAATACAAACTTTTAAGGAATACAAATGAAAGCATTTCTCAGGCACAATGGCTCGATTCTAAAAAAGAATTTCTGCCGTGGGAATAATGTGACAAATAAACATGAGACAAATGTGCCTTCTTGTCCCTTAAAAAACTTGATCGAAGCACATTTGTCACACAAATGATTTTTTGGGGGTAGACATTTGAGGTCCCATTTGTCTCATGTGGGACAAATTCGACCGCATTGGTCTTACGTAAGACAAATGTGCTCCGAGACAAATGTGCTCCTACTGAGCGGTGTTTCGACGTTGTACATTCCAGTCAATGTTTCATATCTATATTTATCTGATTTTCTGTCTTTAGTTTAAGGTTTCACGTTCGTGAATATTCGTAAAAACGTTGGCATGGTTACCTTTTTTGTTTTTGCAGTTGTGGCTTTATCCTTTGCGTTTGCATCTGTCGTGGCTCTCCTCTCAAAAGCGCTAACGGCATTGCGTTTTGGTTTTATAACTGGTTGAGGTGTCCCACCAACACTACGAGAAACGGTGTTTTTAAAGCACTGGACCTAGAATTACAATGTAAGTCAATAATATTTAGTTATACGTAATTGGCGGTAATTCCAAGGTAATTTTACGTCTAAATAAAAATTCAATAAAAAACCAAGAGGATCATGACGGTTCTTAGTCGCTCACATGAATAAAGACTAAACCAAATGTAAATCAATTTTCGGAAGATCGAGAAAAGACGACAGTAAAACCTCTGAAAACCGGACCCTCTGAAAACCAGAATCATCTGAAAACCGGACGATTTTAAATGTCCCGTTGACAATGTTACCTTTTTGCTTATATACTTGTTAGCCATATCCTGTCTTTCAGCCTTAAGTTGATAGGGACTTTGTTCTTGCCGCCAGGGGTGTGAAAACTTTGAAATATTCATTAAATATTGTTGATTCACCTGAAAAAAAATACGTTTGAAAAATGGGACAATACTAAAAATTTACATGTGCGTCTCATACGTGTAGCTTTTTTATAATTATATTCAATATTTTTCTTGTATTCTCGTATGTTCTCGTCTGTTCTATTGGCAATTTTAATTTCAGTCAGAACCAATATGGTGGCCGGTCACGTGACAACACGTGACAACAAAAATGGCAGCTTTCGATTTATTGATCATTGGACAGTCTAAAGGATTGTGTGGCGAGGCTGATTTGGATCATAAGATAGTAGCATGCTGTTCTCAATATTAAATTAGACATTGTAAACGTCTGGCATTTCATTGGATGAATGCTTACTCATTTATCAGGCAGTTTTATCATGTAAATCATGAAAACAGTCATGAAAACAGTCAATTTAAACTATTGAATGGCGATTTTTGTAAAAAGGGGCCTGTTTATTCAAAGAAATACTTTAAAAAGCACATTTCTCCGCCCCTAAACTCAACTTGTGTCTGGCGGCCATTTTTCTTTTCTGTTTTATCTTAGCTATTAAATACAATAGAACGTAATAAAATGATATTCTTACCTTGAAACATATAACTAAAAATATTCAAATGAACCACATAAACTCACGCGGCACAAACTAAGATTTCAGGAATTTGATTGGTCATAAATTACAATAAAATGTACACTGACCAATGAAAATCATGAGATTTGAGATTGAACTCTTGAAAAAATTATAATCTTGAAGCCTTTGTTTTTTTAATATCATATGACAGGAAGAAATGATATTGTTACCCGGCAAACGTTCATGGATGGGACAATCTATAGTCCTGCCATTAATTAATCATCAGTCCTAGTTATGTTGTAAAGCTTTCCCGCCAGAATATTTCTAACATTGGCCAATATCGTAATAAATCGGTCATTTCCGAAACGTTTTTTTTTTTTTTTTTTTTTTTTTTTTTTTTTTTTTTTTGATATTTTTCGGTATTCAATAATTTTTAATCGTTTCGTATAGGAATTTCGAGAAAAAAAAAACGTTCCGGAAATGATCGATTTGCTACGATATTGTACGATGTTAGAATTTTTTGGCGGGAAAGCATTACAGTAAGACTTCCTTAATGGGTCTAAGAATTAGCTTAAAAGCAATCTTAAAACAGTTACCTGCCATTGCAAATTCCATTTTTTGTAGTTGTAATGAGGATCTTTTGTTGCGAGACGTTTTAAAATAGCGAGATTTTCGTGTGTAATTCTCACAAGTTCTCGCTGCCTCTTTAGCTTGTTTAAACTGAAAATTAAAAAGATGAATATTCTAAAGAATGCTGCCGATTTTGCTGGAATTATTGCCCTTGATAATAATGGTGTTGTCTCCACTTTTAAAGAATTCGGTAATCTACGTAATTTTACGAGCCGTAGCTGTAAGCATTCGGCATTTTCCGATTATCATACCGAACACGTCAAAACTGACGATAGAGGCAATCAGCCAAGAAAAGGAGCTTTGCAGTGAATTAATTTAATTAAATTAACTAAAATATGGGGTTGTACACTAGTATGTATAATATAAATTTATCAGTTGGGACCTCGTACCAGTATTAAATTATGATATCATTGAAGAGGCGCAGTGTGCTAGTGGTGACCCTGTTTGTCGGACAACCAACCCATGGGTTGCGTGTTCGAGACGCGCCACGCCAGATACTTCAGCTATTTACCAATAGTCTTTCTCGTTAGACTGTTGTTAAACTGTTGTCTCGTAAAATGGGGCTTTATAATTATGCACATAAAAAAGTCATTGGAAAGTGCCGAAAAGTTCCGATTGAAAAATAGCAAAATGAAATCAAAGTACAAACAGTAAATACATTTTTTTTCAAGTTCAAACAGTTCTAAAAATGCGCCCTTCTTTTATCCAATCTTTGGGTTGTATTTTTACATAGTCGGTTTCACAAGTAGCTTATCGGCGCGACAACCCCGTCAGCCCTACGGGGGGTTACATAATGTGTCTTTGGATATGGTAGTAAGATTTTATACATCAAATAGTGCTGGGGATTTTCTTTTATTTTGACAAAACTTATCTTTGTTCAGTTATAGGCCTACCTTTTCAGATAATAATCGTCTTTCTTATGGTCGACCGCGCCCCCTGATCTCATGATGTGTGCTATTTTCTCCATCAATATTCTGTTGTCTCGTTCTATTGTTGCGAGCCGTTCAGCTTCAAACTGAGATAAAAAGCTATCTATTTGACAATTTTTTATTCTAATATTGACCTTTAAAGGTCCAATAAGCGTCATAAGCTTATAAAATGGTAATACAGAAGTTTTTTTTTTTCGTTTTTTTTTTTTGAAGTCCCAAAACAGTTGGCAAGTTGTACTCATTGGCTGTGCCATCGTTTGCTCTCCTTGCGTTTTGGCATTTATAGTACAGTTGTAAGAGTGTTAATATACCACTGTTTATCTTTATCAGTACTGATTTCACGTTCGACTTACAATGTATTTACTTCAAGTGAAAAGCATCTGAAAGGTTCTAAATCCACAATTTCATTATTATAAAACATATGTTTGTCCTTTGTACAGAACGGAAAAAAAATGATATGAGCCACGTCACGACAAAACCAACATAATGGGTTTGCGACCAACATGGATCCAGACCAGCCTGCGCATCCGCGCAGTCTGATCAGGATCCATGCTGTTCGCTTACAAACGCTATAGCAAGTAGAGAAACTGATAGCGAACAGCATGGATCCTGATCAGACTGCTCGTTTCCTGATAGATATTTCATGAACGGGAAGGGCTAGAGACTTGGGGTCGGTCTCATTTTGAAGCTTAATAATACAAACGTGAAATAGTGATAAAAGCTTTTTTTAATTGTCTGGCCAATTGTTTACACAACGGCCCGGGAAATGAATCCCTTGCTCGTAGGCTCGAATCTGTAGTTTCCGGCCTTCTCTTAACTTATAGCATATTTTTAAAGGGGGTCATTATTTACATTTTTTTGGTTTTTTTGACACTTTTAAGATGAACACAGGTTTTTTTTTCAATCTGGTCATATTTTTTCTTCCCAGGTCCGATACTCGTGCCTGTGACATTGAGCGGAAAAAATGATTTTACGACGCCATCCAGTTTATGATACTTGCTATAATTACTATTATATGTATGCAATTATAAGGGATTAATAGTAGTCCGTCACTTGAGAATTGGTTATTACTGGTTAGTTATCAGGAAAGCCGATTAGATGGTTTGGCCGCCGAGATATTACCGACAACAAATGAGCTGCGTCACGACAAAATCAACATAGTGCGTTTGCGACCAGCATGGATCCAGACCAGCCTGCGCATCCGCGCAGTCTGATCAGGATCCATGCTGTTCGCTTACAAACCTATTATAAGTAAAGAAACTGATAGCGAACCCATTAATATTATGTTGGTTTTGTCATGGCGCAGCTCAAATGTGTCAACATCGACGTTAAAATCAACAACAGAAAAAGCGAACAAACTTATGAGTAACTTAAACTATATTTACTTGTAACTTCTTGAGTTTAATGTGGAGATGCATATGTAAACGAGGAGGGTCATTGACAATCGTTGTCGTAGCTGAAAAACATCAATACATAAAACATACAGAATTACCATATATCATAAGTTTAAGTAATAAATATTGAGTTTACATACATCAATATATAAAAATCTGGATAAAGTGTGAGCCCTCGGAAGCATTTATCACAACAAAATTACATGCAAATTGCAGACTCTGTTTGATTGAGTCTGTACATGAGGGATAACGATAAAGTCAACATCCCTTACGCTCCCTAGCACCGGCATAATATAAATTATATACCGTGTTTAAGTAGTAAATATTGAGTGTATATACAGGGTATTGAATGTGTTGGTTCAATATTGAACAAGTTGAATTAAATTATATGATGTCAGCCTCTGGAGAGCATAATATGTTCTAATTCAACGAGCTAAATAAATTAAGTATTGAAGATACATGGATATACTATTTGTATCACTTTTATTGCATTTGAAAAGACGTGAAAGAAAGAATTTCATCTACAGAATTTAAATCCTGAATTCGGACTAAAATAAATAACAATAACCAATGTATGAACACGAACAAAAGCTGTGAAGGAAATTGTAACATACTAGTGATAATATAGATTTACATCATGTTTAGATTTTTAAAAAACGTTTCAAATGAACTAACCTGCAGCGACTTTCTTTCTATGCGTATTGTAGATCTCATGATCCCATCTCCGAGCAAGGTATAGATTGTTTGCTGGGGTCACTGGCTGGTGCGGCCGAACAGTCCCCATTTTAGGGGATGATTTTTTTTTCTAAAGTTTTATTATACCCAACGTTTATCTACGTGACGTCATCTTTTATTGTGTTTACGTATAACGTTTCAGAAAATGGCGCGTTTCTTAATGACTTTAAATAATACGTGCTTTTATAATTGATTACTTAGTAAGAGGAGGAAGAGTGATGAAGGGATAGCTTACCGGACTTCTAATCCGAGGGTCGTGGGTTCGAATCTATTTAAATGAAATGTACCCGTTCAATACTTTTTACATGCTATTTTCAAGTGATTAAAAATATGATTCTCTGAATAAAAGGGGTGCCTGATTTTTTTATACTTTATTTCCTTTTATTATATGATCTAAATATAGCTGCAATATTATTGTTCCAAGCAGTAATCAATGTTTCAGAACAAATTATAATATCATATTCAGTGGGTGTTGTATCATATTTTCCGGCTTAATTGAATTTTTCAATGACTGTTAATTACGCGTGCGCATAAAAATAATTGTTGCTTTTTCTATATAAGACATATCTCTCATTACTTTACTATGATTATTAATAGTAAACAGTAAGTATAAACGTTCATCACACACCCGTGCCGATTTTGCGACTCCGTTAATATGGTATTGTACGGCCGTTTATTATTTTGACGTGACGTCATTATCGTTATAATACAAACATAGTGTAAAGACGCGCGTTATACTAATGGCGCGTCAATGAAAAATTACTTTTATTTCACTTACAACGGTCTTTATTTTGGGTATGTGATTAAAAGAATATTAAATTCGTGTAAGTTCATTACTGAATTTATTGCACTCGTTGAATAAAATAAAATAATGCTCGCCAGAGGCTCGCATAATGTTTAAAATATGTTAGAATGTCCATCTAACAACAATGAAAGATCACACTTTTTTGATCAACTCAATTCCATTGTAAATATCAATATTATACAAGACATACATAATCTTTCAAATCCTTTAAAACTTGACGCTATGATGGGATCTCTTCTTTCAAACACATGTGCAATAAACCCAAACGAGTACCACTCCTTTTTTATTCCAGTCGTTTGCTTATATAAAACTTGTTGTAGGCAAAAAGATTACTGTCAGAGAAACTAACTGAAATATATTTCACAAATTGTGTCATATCAAACAAAAAGCGTACCTAGATGTTAATCCATTTTTTAGTGTTTTTGTTTTCGTTTCGTTAAAGCACTAATTTTAAACGGAATTCTAGACAATAAATGATATATATAAATATATATATATCTCACAGCATCTTTTGTTACAAATGTAAATATGTATAATTATATTATGATGCATATAAATTTATGTGCTTAACCTATGTTCACACCATGACCTATATTTGCTATGTTGAATTATTGTATAACTTGTAATGATTGTGATTGTACATTTATATATATATATGTCTTTTCTTCTATTATGTTAAAATCTATGAAAATGGGAAATAAAGTGTAATAATAATAATAACTCGTGCAATAAATTCAGTATTGGACTTACACTCATTCAATATCCTCTATTTGCTCAACGTTCGTGTAGTCATTGAACGCCTGACGTCATCTTGTTTATGTGCGTATTTTCCGAACCAGAAGGCTGTACTTTTTTAAATTCTTTTTCATATAATAATTATTCACTAGTGAGCCATTAAGTTTCTATGATGTGATATTCATCGGCAGAAACATATTGACCTCGAATATCGCCTCGGTCAGTATGTTATCTGCCAGTGAATATCACATCATATTCAATGGCTCACAAGTCAATAAATGTATAACATAGAATATGTTTTCTTAAGTTTGATGCAACCATCTTACTAAAACTGATATGAAAAGGCGCTCATCTGACGCAAAATGCGCACCTTTGCAGCACCAGACAGTGATTTCACAAAAAGACGGTACTTTCTATGTAGGGATTTATGCAATTTACTTTAATTCTTATCACGCCGATAAGCTTGTCCAGTGACTGTGGTGGCGCGAGAAATTTCACCGTCAGTTTATAAACTGTCCAGGGCAACTTTGAAGTCCGGGAGATTTTATCTCGAAATTGTATAAAATGTCGCGGCTTAAAGAAATTCTCGAGTTTTTCCGCCACACTTCTGTCGTTTTCGAAGGAAACCGCGACATTTTCTATCTACAGACTGCAAGTAGACGAAGCCACGCATACATTTGCCCACTTCGTAACCTTGTATGTGTTTAAAGTCTAACTATAGTTCGTTTTTTGTTTTTTGTTTTTTTTTTTGTTGTTATAAATGCAGAATGTATTATACAGCTCCATGATAAAAGAAACAAATTATTAAGTCTATTTTGTTTGTATTTTTTACAACCCTTCGAATTTTTTTTCTTTATATATTTAGCCAATATATATTAAGAAAGGAAGCGCCTCATTATCATATAGAACTATCATTCGATCCTTAATACATGTATGCTATCTTTGCTTATTATTGCATCTTCATAGTACAAAATACGAAAACTTGTTTTCAGCTCAGCGTTGGTCAATGTAAAGATAAAAATAGAAACATTTAGCTCAGAATTGGTCTGAGGATAACAATAATGTATTCCAGTGATAAGAAGGAATGACACAAAACAAAATAGGTTATTCAAATATGAGTTTCACGAGTAAACAAAGCTTTTCGAAAAGTGCAAAACAATAAAATAACAATATTAAAAAAACAATAAAAAAACAAAACTTATGGCTAGTTTTCAATGGCCGGAGATGGAGTTTATTTATCATTTATTTATTTCTCTATTTTATTTATTTATTTAACTTACTTTACTTTATACTTTACTTACTTTATACTTTACATCTACTTTATACTTACCTTACCTTACTTATCTACCAACACAATAGCTTGATTTATGTTAATAAGGTGTATTAAATAGTTATTATAGAAGTAACTTTAAAGAACATGTACTTCTTTACTAAATGACAATGACTTTTAAGATTTCATTTCGAAATTTGAACTCATTTTTTAACAGAAATCAAAAACTTCGAATCTTGCCTCCAGATGAGCCTTCAAGACAATCAACTTTGAAAAAAAAAGAACTATGACTTTCAGAAAAGTAAAAATATTCACAATTTAAGTAATGATTTACATGCTATATGCAAATGATGACTGATTTTGCAGTATTTATCACCATAGTTATATTGCGTGTGGTTCAAGCCGGTTAATTAAATGTTCTCTTTTTCTGGCGCGTCACGTTGACTTTGTCCCAAGTGTGCGAAACGAAAATTTAAGAATCGATATACGTATTTATGTATTTTTTAAAGTGAAAAATAAAGAAATTGCTTGGTTATTTGAATTCTACACAAAGATTTGGACGTCCAGTATTTTATTTTCATGCACGAGAATGAACTGCCGCGTGAGGTATTGTTGTTTAAGAAATATATTATAACCCTACGCCAAGCTTGTTTTTCAATGAAATTATTAAGGTAAGCGTTGAGGTCATAATTCGTGGGAGAGAGTAATAAATCATGTTTTATGAAACCACATACAGAATCTGTTGTTCCTCCAATCCTCGAGTGCTAATAGATAATCAAATAATAAGTTACATTAAAACTTTGTTTACAAGATACGAGTAAACAAAATTAAGATTTCTCTGATTACGTCAGAGCCTCTAATTGACACTAATAACTGCTAACCTCCAGTAAGATGTTGTTTCCATGAAAGTATTTGTAATTTTATACAGCGGTCGGGTTATATTTGTTTACAAAAGATTTTATGAGCAAACCTGATAAAAGACTACCCAAGAATGGTACAGACAAAGTTTGGTGATCATCCATCCATTAGTTCTCTAGATATAGATGTTTAAAGGTATTTCTATTTTTAGCTTTAGCGGTCCCTAAAATGGGCCAATCAAATTAATATGAGCAAACTTGATAAAAGACTACCCAAAAATGCTACAGACAAAGTTTGGTGATCATCCATCCATTAGTTCTGTAGAAGAAGATGTCTAAAGGTATTTCTATTTTAGCCCTAGAGACCCCTAAAAGAGGCCAATCAAATTAATATGAGCAAATGTGATAAAAGACTACCCAAGAATGCTACAGACAAAGTTTGGTTATCATCCATCAATTAGTTCTGTAGTAAAAGATGTTTGAAGTTTTTTTTTTCTATTTTTAGCTCTGTTGACCCCTAAAAGGGGCCAATTGAAATGACATGAGCAAATACAAGTGTGACTGTCACAAGGATGCTACAGACCAAATTTGAAGGAAATCTGCCCAGCGGTTTCAGAGAAGAAGACGATTTTTGACGCATGACGACGGACGATGGACGGCGGAGTATTCCCCTTTGATACTAATAGCTCACCCTGAGCCTTCCGCTCTGGTGAGCTAAAAAAATATGCTTTTACTGATGCCTGGTAAGAAAAATAATTCCATTGAATACAAACAAGACTTACAAGACCTGTAAATGTAATGTGACATGACTGTAGTGCAACAGTGTTCTGTTTGTGTCCCTACTGTAGTCAGTAACATAAGATGTTAAAAAATATCAAAGCATGTACATTTTCTTTGTACCTATAATCCTACTCATTTTCTACAAATATGAACAACTAATCATGGTAAGAAATATAACAAGAGGGCCATGATGGTCCTGAGGTCGCTCACCTGTATAAAGGCACCCGGAGCGGGGCCAGTGTAAACCCCAGGGCTTTTATTTGAACAAACTTGGAAGACACCCATTAGAAGATGTTTCACGAAGTTAAGTTTTTACTACACACATATAATTAATAAATTAAACGAGACTTACCTGGAAGTTGAAGTTCAATTATTATTCTACTGCTACTGGACCACAGGGTTTAATGAGATGAACATATGATCTTATCAGATGACCAAGCATACTTTCAGAGCATATATAATTATGCAAAACTTCAACCATGGCTTAATCATATGGGAGGGGTAACCGGGTGGTCCAGTAGCGGTAGAATAATAATTGAACTTTAACTTCCAGGTAAGTCTCGTTTAATTTTTATTATAACTTATCATACAGTTACCCAACTAAACACAATTGGTATCATAGAATTATATTTTGTGAGTAAGAGCTGATATTTTCTTATATCAAGTAAGATTTAAAA